ATGTTTTTTTTAATTTGCTGTGTTAAAATAGCTCAAATATGTCCCACTGTGATAAGAAAGTAGACAATGATAAGACAGATGAGGCAGTTGAGGCGACACATTTCATACGTGTTGATGAGTAAGGTGCCAAACCGGAAAGAATGTAGGATCCAAGTGGAAAAGCAATTCAATCCAAGAGTACTGGAAATGGATTGCACGATGAAATAATAATTGTCGAACGACATCACCATCGAGGAGAAGGTTAGCATGAATGGCAAGGCTCCATAAAATCTGATCACACAAGTAAGGATTATATCCAGTTTTGACGATATGGTGATATCCGGATATGGAAGTTCTTCAGTGTAATCTGAATATTAAGAACATTTGAATGATAAATCTACTTACATACGGTGGTACAAAACAGACTTGACTAGATTATTTGGATTATTTGGTGCACGTTGTCATTTTTATGGATTTCGAGTTTGAGCCTTTCTCTCAATTCTTCACATATTTTCAAAACCAGAAACGTTTTGAAAATTTTGGACCGTTTAAAAGCACCAGGCCGGTTGATAGTAAAATCAATAAACAATCTATGTAGGATACAAATATAATCAAATGACGCGTTTTTAATGCATGAACCATATGTCTAGTTAAGGAATTAAGATGATTAGAGCCATTGATTTATAAAAGGCTCATATTTTATAGAGTTTTTCAAATTGGATTAATTTATTTAAACTGTAAAAATTTTATTGAGCAAAATATGGCCATGTTAACCTTAAACTAATGCTCCCATCCTGAAGTAACTGCAAAATTCCGCGAAACATTCCAATTTGAAAACCTTTTTGAACCAGAGTTTTCCTTACCTGGATTTCTAAATTTTACGCTCCACTTCTTCATCTCGTTCCACCCGTTCACGGCTTCCTTTCCATAAAAACTTACAAGAAAATGCAACGTGAATGCGTAAAAGTCACAAATCGCAAAAAACCAAATCATTAAAGAATCCGTAAGATTCCCATGGTTTCTAAAGTATTGGTCGGATAAGACGTAAACGGAGGACCCAAGCCCAAGCAGATCCACAGTAATGAGCATGCTAATGTGCCACGCCAAGGTCGTTTTGCTATCAGAAATCTGCCTAAAAACTAAGCCCTCATTCTTTGAATCCCAAGTTATTGCGGGTTCAAAGAAGAGGTTAAATTTTGAGGAATATTTTCTAAACCCTGATGCCATACTTGGCGTCGCCATGATGCCCAGGCACACAATTTAAAAGACCTGGTTCATGGAAATTTATTAGTATTCTTCGGATGAACCGAATCAAACCTGTGTTTATGGACCATTTTTTTTAACAAGGTGAAGTTTAATAATGCCAATTTGTTTATAAAAATGCACTATTGAAAAAAACCTGGCTCATGTGAAGTTATCAATATTCTGTCGATGTTTCAGAATATTTAGAACGGCATTAACATGTATTTATTTCCTTTAATAGTTTTAAGTTTTGAAAACATGATAAGTTTTAATCGTATTTATGTATGTAAGTACGTATCTAGAAAAATGTATAATTTACTTAGACCTTAAGTTTAGTAAACCAGGCCGATTTAAAGTAATTATGTAGGCTAAATCAAGATATTCCAACATTACTTATGTACATTAATCGTAAGCGGGGACATCACCGAAAGGAACAGAACAGAAAAGAACGATAAAAATTAACGACAAATTTAACATTGTTTAATGAAAAATTAAACTTCACATGGCACATTTGCATCATACTTTTTTCACAAATTGGCCTCAACAATAATAAAAATAAATATATGGAATGTAAATAAATAACAGATCGGAATTCTGAAATTTGGAAACGTTTAGATCAATTGTTTCAAATTAAATATTACTGATTGCATACTTTACTGAAAAAAGTATTCGATCAGAGTTTTTCGTATGTATTTATTTACAATCGATAATCTTTGGATTAAAGGGTTAGACACACGTGTTAAGCATTTCCATTCCAATTTAAGCCATTCCCGTTTCAAAGTTTAAACAATCCTCCTATTTCACTAAATACATAGTGTACAAAAATTATCTGCCGGTTAAAAGTACATTCTCTAACCATTGTGGTTCTGGAAGTTCTGGAAATTTATTTATTTACAAGAACTAATTAACGCAACCGACATTAGTTTAAATATTATTTTCTAATTTGAACAAAATGAATTCACAATTTGCAAAATGTTAAATCAAATTTGATTCAAATTTGATTAAATTTAAAAGACTGTTTGCATACTCACCACAAAGTCTGGTACACCCAAGAGTAACGTGACCGTTACGGAACTCACCCTATCAAAATACTCCATCCTTACATCCTTATCATACACGAACACCTTAATATTTCCAAACCCCGTAAAAAACAAGAAGGGCCTCATCCCACGCAACTTGCAGCGCATATATTTCCCCGCAAATCCACCCTTCCGCGCGGCGTAGAAGTCACACTTTTTCAAGAAACCCGCCGTCGCGATATACACCCCGTTTCCATGGGGCATCGCGGCATTCACAAAAACCAAAATATTGCAAGAGAGAGCGGGAAACACGACGTAAATCGGCGTCGGTAAGATATTAAAGCCCTTAACGGTCACAAAATTGGCAATGGCGCAGAGCAGCATGCCCAAGAATATGGCCACCAGGGTTCCCAGTTCCTGAAACGATGTGTAATATTTGCTACTTATAAAGGTCGAGGTATAGGCGGATGTTAGCTCTTTAAAATTTCCGAGATTTATGTTTCCACCAATTTTCGACGTTAAAATAGAGCAAACATCTCGCACCATGATAAGAAAGTAGACAACGATAAGACAGACGAGACAGTTGAGGCGACATATTTCATACGTACTGATTAGTAACATGCCAAACCGGATACAATGAAGGGTCGAAATGGAGAAACAGTTCAATCCAAGAGGAACTGAAATGGACTGTACAACGTAAAAATAATTGTCGAACGACATGATCATCGCGGAGCAGGTGAGAAGGAAGGGTAGAGATCCGTATAATCTGATTAAGTTGGTGAAGAGTGTGTCCAGCTTGGAAACAACGGGGTTTTCAAATTTTTTGGCGTAATCTGGATAGTAAGAAAATTTAAATGAAAATACTTCATAGGGTTGTTCAAGTCGGACATTAAAGGCATTTCTTGTGGGATTTCAATTAATTCAGAACGGCAATATTAGCGTAAAGGTAAAATATCGAATATTTTGTCATAAAAATTCTTGCTAACTTTCTGTTAATTTAAGAATCCCTAGATTAAAAGGCAATTTTACTCGTTAATTTTACTCTAATAATCCCGTTGCGATTTTGTGCGATAGCCAACGGAAATTAGAATTAAATGGCAGGAAATATATTTCTAGGAAACATTCGTGAACAAAAGTAATCCTTACCTGGATCAGTAAATTTTACGTGCCACCTTTTCATCTCGTTCCACCCATTGACGGCGTCCTTTCCATAAACACCAAACAGATAATGTAACGTGAATCCGTAAAAGTCGGAAATCGCAAAAAACCAAATCATAAGAAAATCCGTAAGATTCCCATGGTTTCGGTAGTATTGATCAGACAAGACGTAAATGGAGGACCCAAGCCCAACGACGTCCACAGTAATGAGCATGCCAATGTGCCATGCTAAGGTCGATTTATTGTAAGAAAAAGGCTTAAAAATTAAAACCTCGTTCCTTGCATCCCAAACTATTGGGGGTTCGAAAAAGAGGGCAAATTTTGAGGAATATTTTCTAAAAGAGGATACGATACTTTGAGTCGTCATGATTGGACTATAAATAATTTAGAAGACACCCGGTTCATGGAAATTGTTAATCGTTCTGCTATGGTTAATAATAGTACGGCCTACATCAACCTGTATTTGCTACTCATTTTTGACAATCTGACAAACTTTAGTCATGCATTTCCTCTGTCCCCACACTTCCGCAGCCACTGTAATCAATATTTAAATAAGACCACTCACGGCATCCCGCCTTCACGATAGCAATCCCTATATTCGCAAAGGTCTTGGTCCTCCTCAGAATAGTAGTGGCAGGAATTATCCTCACCCGTGCAGTAATCGCAGTACGGAGGGCAGGTCGAGTTCGACCCCCCTGGAAATTCCCCCCTATGGACGACCTTGGTGGCAACTTGAGCGAAGAAGGGGGCAAGGTTGACCCCCCAGAAAAGTGTCGACTTCATCATAACCTCTGTTCTGGATGGATAATAATTATACATATACTCACAATGGGACGATTTTAAGTGTAACACTCGAATTTGGTTGAAATTTTTAAATTTTGTAAAACGGAAAGTTGAAAAATTGGCGATTTTTATCAAGTGCGATCTCAAAAAATTTTAAAAAATCGGACTATGGCGCACACTTCTGGTTGTACAGATTGATTATGTAGGACTACAGAATTCCAAAATTTCAATAAAATATAAGTTTGTATAAAATTTCACACCATGACATTGTGAGTAAAAAAAAATGTACATGCAGCTTTACATGGGATGAATGGAGGAATTGAACTGCAAAGTTATTGTTGAAAATTTATAAATATGTTATCATCTTCTTGATAAGGAGATGATAACCGGGATCAAACGCTTGGATGACAGAGCTTTGGCTTGATTGAATTTTCTTGACGTAACCGGTTCGGTGATTTATATCGTAATTTCGTCATTATGCAAACATAAATGATGTAAAAATTTACATTAATCAGCTGGAGAACCCAAATGATCAGTATGAAGACTTTTACTGTGTGAAATTTTTATTGTGTGAAAATAAACAGCACATTTTCCGGTTTTCATACAATTCGGTGTATTGCCTTTTCATGAAATAGATAAATGACCTAATAGCTCTGTTAATGGAAAAAATGTCTTTTCAAAAAACCCAAATGTAATATCAAGACAGATGGTGGAGTTTGTTAATTGTGTATGATTTCTTTCTAAATGACACTGTCATTTGAATGTCACGTTGTATTTGATCACGTGATATGATGGCACCTTGATTCAGACTTACATATGTATGTATTTGCATACTTTTTGACATTATTTTTATTGGTGTAAAAGTATTTAGTAGGAGATTTCTAAATGTATGTTTTTATCACTTCAATAATCATTTTACTTAACACGGTTGATTAAAGAGTTATCCACTTTTTATCCATTACACAGATAAATACGAACATATTTACATATCATCTCCATATACTTTGTTAGCCCCAGCTTAATAATATTTAAACCTGCTTAATTTCTAGAAACCTAATCTTTCCAAAATCGGATCTCTGCGTTGTATAACTTCTTCTTGGAAGAGCCTAATGCTATCATCAAAGCCGAACGGGTTTCTAAGTAATTCGGGCGGGTCAATCGTGCTATTTGTGGCGCAATACGAATAGGTGTCCTTGTGATGGTGTGTGTACGCTATGTCACGATGTATTCTAAATAATTCAAACATTAAATCGCAAGGTCATACCTAGGTATATACATTTTTAGAAGTACTACACTCTTAAAAATAATGTTGTCTTTTTGAAAAATACATATACCCTGAGTTTTCAATTGTTTATATGCACATAGTTTACATATACACTGAATATTGACTTCAGAGTGCATTTACTTTCCAAAAGGGTAGAATTATTTTTAGGAGTGTATTTATGACCGTGCTTACCGTTTGGAGCACACGATCAGGTATGTACAAATAGATAGATTGCCCAACTTGCCTCGAAATGGGGCGGTGAGCGCGCCTTTCCAACACTTAGCACCTGAGCACGTCGTCCCCCGGTGATTTTTGAAACCTCTGCCCCAAATGCATGAATTCATCACATGGAGTACATTAGCCGAACGAGCCGAATTATCTTATTATTCAAGACCACTTATTTTTATTTTGACGTTTAAATTGTTCAATTTCATATGATTTAAACGCCACAATAAAATTATTTTTATTTTGACGTTTAAATTGTTCAATTTCGTATGATTTAAACGCCAAAATAAAATAATTTGCGTTAAATAATAAAATAATTCGGCTCATTCGGGTAATGTATTCCATGCGATGAATGAATAGCGTAAAACGGAGTTTAACAACTGTAATTTTTATGTTGGCCTAATAATCATACGAAATTGAATAATTTAAACGCCAAAATAAAAATAACTCGTGTCAAATAATAAATGGGAGACAAGCATGCAAACGTGCTCAAAATGTTTTTCCTGCACATTTCAGAGCCACCACCACGAGCTGGTCAATCTATTTGTACATACCTCATCGTGTGCGTTTGGAGCAAGAAGTAACTCCCTCCAGGCACGCTGAGGGCGAGTGATTATGAACAAGAAGAACCGATTCCGTGTTGTGGAAACATTTGACGTTCGTGTGACGACCGGAATTGCATAAGTAGGCTTTGTCGAAATACACTTTCTGCAATAATTAAATACAATTTAAATAAGAAGTCAAAATCATTAAATTTTGATCAAACTAGTGTCAATCCATCACACACTTAATTAATGCCAAATTTGCACAGGGACCGTCTTCCGTAATGATTACGTTTGGCGAAGATGTTTGCATCCGGAGAGGAGAAAGCACGCAGGAATTTTAGACAGCTTAAAATTTCTTCTCTTCGGATGCAAATATCCTTGACATATGTGACTATCGAAATATCACGTGGTTTACAAGTGCCGTAGTACAACACACTTTTGTGATCGATCGACACTTTTATACAATTTGGGAGAAATCCGTGAACATACGCTGGGTGACCTCCATTGTCAATTATGTTTCTTCAAACAAATATGCACTCACGTTCATGACATAAGGAAGTTGTGGATCAGCATCATCGAATAGCTCTGGACGGATTTGATGCAGGTCTGCCACCAGACTTCCGTTCGTCCGTTGCATTCGGTCCACGAATAATTTCATATCGAAGCAGAAACTGTAATGGGTAACGTTCGTATTCATTTTCTCAAGCTCTTCAAACAGTTCGGTGTAATTAGTGAAGGTACTGTTGGCCGTGGGCAATATGACCTGTACACGAAATTATTAGGATGTTACATATACATAGCAAGGAATCCAACATATTTTTTAATGTGCTAAGCAGACCTCATCAATATCGATGATCGCAATATATTTATATTGATACATGTTCTCCAAGAAACAATCGACATAGGGTATCAATTCGGCCCTCAACTTCACATTGTTGTTTCGCTACGGAACAGATATAAAATCAACACTTTGAAACATTAAATTAAGCCCGCTTTAAAAAAGGGAGATTGCGAATTAAGGATTTTCACCCAATAATTTCTTAATAAGAAAATTTATACGTGAGAAAGGTGGCGTTTACGTGCTAATTGAGTGTGAAACCCCTTAATTCGTAACCACCCTAATAAAATTATACCCGCAATAATAAATGTCGCAAGTGTGGCAAATTACTGTATGGTCCGGGCAGACTAAACGGTTTCACGTGGACTATTGGATCATCCTCTTTTCCGTAATAATCTAGTACCCTATCAACATTTGGATGTGTCGCCATGTACGGAAAGTGAATCCCGCTAACCCCCAGAACTCTGAGCAGTTCAACCATCTCAATAATCCTGCGGGATAAGTCCACCTCAGAGAAATCCAGCCACTTGAAACAGACCCCAAAATCGCCAACTCTCTCATCCTTGTTAACCACTTTCAATTGATTAGTAGCTTGCTGACACTTCTGCGAAACTATTGAAACGGAGGCAGGCCATTCAAATTCTTCGGACGTGTCGACGTCAGACTCGTCAAAATCGTCCAAATCACAGGTGACCAGGATAGGGTGATGAGCACCGGATTGACCCCACGGCCAAATATTTTTAAATGTAGCCTACAAGTTGGTATAGCATTTTGATTTGATGTTCAGACGAGAATATTACGGAGATTGCAAATTTCGGGAATATCACTATAATTGTCATTTTAAAATTAAATTTTGACTCCCGTGAAGTTAAGCCTACGCAAACATTACTTAATTCTTCTATTATTTTTAAGTGTAAACAAAAATTATGTATGCCAACCTTAATTCGCAATCTCTGTATTATGTCAAATTTTAATATTAACTTGGTTAATCAATTTGCTAATTAATGTTGTCTACACACATTTGTAGTGCTTATGAAAGAATTATTCCCCGACCATAAATTGCACCAAACCGTCAAATTCGCTTTCCTAAAAGCGTCATCTATCATGGTCACGACACGAATTTTTTTACCGGTGCCACGCCCATCAGCGTTCGCGCTATAGAGGTACATTATTCCAGTCGTATTTTTCTCAATCACGCGCAGCATCTGCAATTATATTGCAAATTATTTAATTTGCATATTAATACATAAATCCATTTTCATAATGTACACTCTTGAAAATAATATGTGGTACATATTATGTACCACCCTTTGAAAAATCAATGCACTTTCTCATTATCTTGATAATAATTTGAAGGTTTACGTTAGTCTGGATTTAGAATATATATTTGTGTTACACAAACTCTAAGGGGTCTTTCATAAATTACGTAACGCAAAAATCGACTTTTTTCAGACCCCACCCCATCTGTCACACTAGTGTAACGCAAGACCGTTACCCTGTGTAAATTTTTCGAGGGGCCAAATAAATTTTTCACATTGCTGATTAAGTTTTATCGCAATTTTAGTCTACCTCTTTGTTATTCAAGCTTGCGTAAATTTTAGCTATTTTTATTTACTGTGTACATATGTATGTATGTACTTTTCAAAAGGGTAGCATTATTTTTAAGTGGGTATACAAATTTACCCTTACCTGCCAGTACGTGTTACTGAAGAGTATTTCATGCAGATGAGGGGCACGACTGCATGCCTTCGTCTTAGGCCCTGCTGCCATATTTGCCACATTATTGAAGTCAAACACTCCAGAAGCTTCCTGTCCTAAAATTGTGTCTTCCACGAAATAATTCTGTATGGAGTTCAATTCCTCTTTCAAATTTTCCAATGCAGATCCCGATTTTCCTTCTTCTTCATTCGATTCGCTTTCTTCTTCACTCAGATTAACTGGTTGTTTCCAAAACATCACCGATCGTCGAAGTTCATGTACTTTCCGTGGCATAAAGTTTAACTCAATTGGTCCCTTTTGTCCCGAAAATATTATGGCGAAGAAGACAAAAAACACGAGAATTGACGTCCCGAAGAAAATTCGTCTTAATGTGGCCATATTTTAGCTAAGGAGTTTTTCAAATTTGACTTCTCAATTCTTCTCGGAGGTAATTTTCAGAAATCTAAAAAAAATAATTGAAATTGAACCCTCCCTCTGAACAATGATACTACCTTTTTGCAAAGAAATATACGTTGAAGTCTACTAATGCATTGGTGTGAAGTGTAACCCTCCGATTTGTTTGAAATTTCGAAATTAAGAGGTCCATGTCAAAACAACCAACATTTCTTCAGCCAGTTTGTGCGATCGTCAGAATTTGGCAAAATATTTGACGTTAAAGTTGAAAATGCACAATTTTTAGCAAAAGAAGGGAATGTAAGTTGAGTTTGCTTCCTCCGCCTAGTAAAAATCGCCCATTTTTCAACTTTGAACTCAAATATTTTGGCAAATTCTGACCATCGCCCAAACTGGCTGAAGAAACGTTGGTTGTTTTGACATGGACCTCTTAATTTCAAAATTTCAACCAAATCGGAGGGTTACACTTCACACCATCACATTCTAAGTAAATGAACCAAACGATGAGTCTAAATCCTGAGCTAACTTTAATCGTTTATTAAATTAACGTGTCTCCGCATCAGGCCCCGATCTAGCCCAAAATCTTACCCGGGCAAAGAAATTCGGCGCCCCAAGCCGCTCGCGCCTTCGGCGCTCGCATGTGGCTTTTTCTAAATATTTGCGCAAAATATTCTTACCCAGGCCTTATTAATTTATTTCGGACTACTATTTTGCCGCAGCCTGATTTTTGACTTTAATTTTGTAATTTGTTGAGTTTTACAAAATTATACCATTTTCCCTAATAGCTTTTACGCGCTCGAAATATGGGATTTTAGCACGATCGAATGCATTGGTTTAGGGATGCACCGAGTGCTCGGCCGACTCGGCGTGTATTTTTACTACTCGGACTCGGCCGTGTATTGTCGCCCACTCGGCCGAGTTTTTCTTCATTTTTTGGTCATTTTTTAATAAATTCTTGTCCGTGAAACAGTTATTACTCGGTGCTCGGCCGAGTACTCGTTTCAAGAATTGTCGAGTACTCGGCCGAGTCTTCTTTTTTACCACTCGGTGCACCCCTACATTCGTTGGATAAAATCCGTTAGATTTTACGAATTTTATAAACAAAAGGATATTTTGTTAATTATTTAAAATTCTGTTAATTACGCATCGACCTGCGTACCTAACTACATAAATACCTATTTATGTTTATTGTCTTAACAAATAAATTAATCTGGCCAATCAGGGATAATCAGAGCTGGGAGATTGGTCATTTTTTGCTCAAATTACGGATTGGGGATTGGTCACTAAAATTTTTGGATTAGAATGGGCATTAGAAATAAACATTGATTAGGGACTTGGATTAGTTTCGGATTAGATTACTTTAGAAACATGATTTGGATTGGGGATTAGAGATTGGCCAGTCTGGATTAGTCAAGCGTGTGGATTATTTTTCGCCCCTACTTTGATTCTGTTTAATGAATTTTGTTTAAAACTTATTATTTCTGTTTATTATTTCACCCTACGAAGATAATAGTAAATAAAATTAAAGGAAAATTTGTTAAACTCATGCAATGTGGTATGATTATGGCTATTAACCACAAATTAACCAGTTCATCGGACACAGAGGTTAATTCTTGTGTAAAAAAATTAGCAGTATGGATTGACAAATTTGAATTAGTTGCAAGATTAAGGATTTTTAATAAATGTTTTGTTCTTAAATTCATTCTTTTAACAAAGGGTGAATAATTTCAGGTAAAAAAAAGACAGTAAAAAACGGTTTAAATCGTTCTTTAGAGCTGTAATAACAACACATTAAGTAGTTAACCGGTCGAAAAGGTTCGTTTTTTAGAAATTTGTCAAATGTCAAATTCAAAGGTTAATTTTAAGGGAAATATGAAACACGCAATTCTCAAAGAACTTAAATCTAATCCAAGATCTATGACCTATCCAGATTGGGAATTGACCTGGCAATATTTTGATGGATTGGGGATCTATTTAAATGAATTTGTTTTCGGGATTGGGGATTAGTGGATTACTTTAAATATTTTCAAAGTTTGGATAAGAGAATTGACTAATCCCAATCCGGATTACCTATAGGTGGATTGTCCCAGCTATGGGTTAATTAATAAGTTCCAATACATTGGGTTGCAGAATAAATTCACAGATAGATAGAACGCACGCTGTGTCTTACATTTCCCACGATACCAGCTTAAAATTGAAGATAAAATCTGAGACCGATGCCGAAATTGGAAATATGCCTTCAAAAAAACTGGCAATGCAGCCCATTTATGTGTAAAACCTAGATCTCCATATTTTACTCAACCTTGAGTTGGTTGATTATCTCTAGAGGGATTCTGAGGGATATGTACCGCTCCACGTTGCATCGATTTCACCGAATTAAATATAAAAAATTGCAAGGAAAATTCCGGGTGCTACGGTCAATGCAGCGAAGATATTTTTAAATTATATGCAAACACACCCCATTCAAAAATTGGGGGAGGAAAATTGACAAAATGAGAAAGTCTATGCATACATACTCGGCAAAACAGGAATTAGACCACAACTTGCTTTTGGCATTTGAATACCTGCATAAATACGGATATTTTGATGCATCAAAAGTTCCAAAATTTGAAAATTGGCGGTTTTTGAACCTACATAGAAATGGTTAAAAAATTATGGTTGCGGCCATTTCTCGGCTGACAACCTGATGCCAGATTTTTTTATTTGCAAATAGCTACATTTTCGGATTTTGTTGTCGGAAGAGGAATGGCCGCAACCATGAGATTTTTAGGGTCAAAGTTTCTGAGGGAGGGGCTTATACGGCAAAAGGCCGTAACAAACCACACCCACTAAACTGTAGAGGAACAAAGTGAGGCAGGATTCTCCTACGACCCTGACGCGCGATGGTTGTAGACACACACCAGAACCCGAGTTTTTCTCTTAAAATTGAAACACGTTTCGTGGCACATTTCCCTCAGAATCCCTCTCTATTTAGAGTGTGGGTGAAAATTTAGAAACTGTACGTTTCAAAAATTACAGTAGTGCATCAGCACAACACATCAGAATGTCGCAATGAGTTGTCCAAATCTGATCAAAATAAAAACTCGATGCAAAAGATTTTCAAAACTTACAATAGGAAAATTCAATTATATCTAGGGTAAAGCCGGGCGCCTACCGGCGCCCCCCAGGGGTTTGTCGCCCCGGGCACCTGCCCGCGTTGCCCGCCCCTAAATCGGGGCCTGCTCCGCATTTATGTATGTAGTGCACTTTACTTAACATATAATAATTTATTACATGTTAAGTAAAGTAAATGTACTCGTGCTGATTTATTATTAATAAATCAGCACGAGTACATTTACTTTTCAAACGGGGGAAATATTTTTAAGAGTGTAATAATTAATTACAGACAAAATTCTTTAGATCTTGTCAGTAAAAAAATACTGTGGTAAAGGAGACCCAATTCTTTCCACCTTGCTCGGGTCAACCAAATGTGTGGTGGTAATGGTCATGTTTCATTTAAAAATGTCTTGTTTGGCTTATCTTATCTGCCATTGTGCCGACGATGCTGAGATTATGTGTACTTTGCACGCAATCCAATGGGATAAAAGGATTAAAACGTTGATGTCAGACTTTCACTAATGGAGGGCTTATATACTCATAAATCGGCACTTAATTCTGGTAAATTTCCAACACAATGGGTGCACTCATTCGTCAACAGTCTGTACTGAGAAAAAAAATTGTATCACCGGATTATCACCCGCAGGTGACTAAGTATTTGCGACTCTACTATATGATGACCCTGCGTCACAACTTGGTAACCGCGTGGAAATAACCCACAACTTGTTCGGTACTAGTCAATCATAACGCAGAAATATACCACAACCAACAACACAAAAACCAGGATCAATGAAAGTGCGATGATCAGTAAGTCAGCATCACACTAATCACCGAAATTCTTAAATAGTAGTACATACATAAAGAACTGTTTTAATTTTTAATATAGGCATTCTTTCTAGTGATTCAACGTCAATATCGGGAACACCAAGAAATAACAATGATTAGAGACTATGCAATTTTATATGGATTCACTACCCAATCAAACATCTTTAACAATTTTTATACAGGATTAGATATGTAACTTTAGGGTTGAAATTTTTGGCATACACAAGTACCTAATTTGCTTCTTGGTTTATGAAATAACGCTAAAAAATCAACAACCTAAACTACATACATACTTGAATCACGAATGGAGTGATTTGAGCGACTCGAAATAATATATTCCTTCTTTTCTGTTAAAATTTTGTAAAAGAATAATAATGTTTCATTTTCATGAAAATATTTATCTGGCGAATGAGATTAACTAGAGAAAAATTCGGGTGAAACACTATAAAGCCGGTCCCTTTCCACTTATCTAAATATTTATAAGATGGGCAATAAATGGCAAATGTTAAACAGCTCGACGCCGGCATAATTAGAGACCATAAAATGATATGTATGTATAACGAATGTGGAACTGTTCTCTTTATGTTACTTTTCATTATTCAATCTTTACTCTTGTCGGTAGAGTTTCATTCAATCAATTGGTTTCTTGGTATATTTGCATCGCAATACTCCACATAAAACCCGTAAACAATGATTGACTTGTTTTGCGCAATAACAGGTTCGATCTCCACGGTCTGGATCAAGTAAGATAAGATAAGATAAGACTTGGATGACAACGTGATTTACTTCGCAATACTAAAATCTTTGAGTACATGCATAGTTGTTCATTTTTATAAACATTGTACCATATGTGATTTTGTTTTACATTATGCAAGCTGCCATAAATAAATCCAGACCAACTTACTAAACAGTGAAGCCTAAGGCTAGTAATTTCGCCCGAAATGTTTCTTCGAATTGTATTAAACTACTCCTTTACTGCAATTACTTAAATTTCAGAACATATAACACAATACAACACACTAGAACAATAGAACACACATTTCAGAAGTGTACGAAATGGGAGTATTTCTTCAAATCAATTGCAAAATGTACTTTTGTAAGGTTCGTTTTATTGTTTTACTAAGTTTCTGCTCTCGTAAAATCTGTCCTGAGTACTATTCAGGCTTTATCCTGAATTTTTGCATAGTTCACTGAACACAGAACCGAAAATGCAATTAAATTTCGAACTAAAAAGGGAAAATTCTTGTTATCAATATACATTTTCGGTGCAAATTCCTTTCCACTGTCTAAATAAAGGGTGTTTAAATAAAGCCAATTTCTTATGAGACATACCTTAACTCATAATCTTTCCATCATTTAGTTCAACCATGCCTCCAACTTGTTCCTTTAGGGTTTATGTTAATTCTTCCAAAGTTGTATAGAAAAATGAATCGGCACGAATTAAATCAACACACTTTAGTGTTTTCTTATTTTTCCAGGTTAAAACCTTCTTTTGGAGCGGATTCCCACCTGCACAAAATTCCGACTGCATACATAAATACCTTCTAATTAACAGCACTTAATATTCTATACATACATTTATATTGCAACTGCACGTGTTTTAATTTCTATAGTTTTTTTTTATTTTAGGAAATTCATCCGTGAGAAATTCAAATTAACTGAAAAAACTGACTTTCCAGGTTACATTTTTACGATAAAAAACTCAGACTTCTCTTAAATTCTTGCACCACACTTTGCACCATAAATTGCAGACTCGTCAATTGTTAACTGAATTGTAAGGCATGCAAGTTTAACTGATTGTGCAAAAATTTATGACGCAAAGCAGCTTTTCATCTAAAAAGTTATACAACCCGTCAATTGCCAACTGGACTGTCCTGGCCGAATTGGGCAGTGACATCAATTACAATTACGAGATTATGTACGATATGTAAATATTACTCATCCGGTGATGATAAGAGAATACAATGTCACCAGGGACTCTGTCGCCCAAAACATGCTCATGTTATCAATGTCCTCGCCAAGGAGAAGATAACCCGTTCAATTTCACCGGTTTCGTTGTATAATACGATAATTCTCCAGTTATAAAATTACAGTCTTCCAATCTTAAACTAAATATGCTCTAAATAGCTGGGCGACAAGTTGAAGCACGCGGAAGTACTATTTTTTGTGATTAGCGAGACGTTTTGTGACCAACCGATAAGCAATCTAAAACTCGTGTAAGAAACACGAGTTATTTTACAAAATTAGACAATTTTACTATGCTGGGTAATTTATGTATAATTAGACACAATTCTGGTCTGGATAAGAATCACGTAAAAAGGATCGAATTTTAATGTATAGATCATAGCTATAAAATATATTTTTTTATATACCACTATTTAACGACGTCACGTGTCATTGGTATTTATTTTTGCTAAATTATTTTTATTCGAAACATAACGTCACCTTAATAATGACTTAAAAAATTTACCTTCAGCGGTTAAAATTTGTCTTCAAGTTATTTACCCAGTATTTTTACTGAATAATTAAACCCCTTCAACCAAAAGTAAGAAGATGGTGAAATTGACATTAACTTTTTGGGTGGTCACCCTGATCACCTGTCTCGCTCAGGGTGAAAGCCGAGCCATCGAAAGCGTGGATTTCGACCTTGAAGACGGGTTCAACTACACGTGTCCCCCGTACTGCGACTACTGCACGGACGACGATACTTCCTGCCGCTATTATCCCGATGCTAGAAACGAAGAGGGCGGGATGCCGTGAGTGGACATATTAATAACCAAGAAATATTTTTTGAAATGCAATTTTTTAAAAGATATCTAGCTAAGACAAAGTGTTCTTATAATTGATATGTCCGCCATAAGAATTTTAAAAAAGCTTCTACATAGTTTGCAAAATCTAACCATAAAAAATTACGCAATTCACGATTGTGCTTGTGTGTAAACTGTACACTCTTAAAAACCAAGGGGTATAATCGTTACCGCATGGTGTGCATATTTATTTTCACGAAATGGCGATAATATTTGTCATCCAATGGGGATAAATGATGGTGGCACGTTTTCACTGGCTCGTCTTAATTTTGTTTCCATTATGGTGAAACATTATCACGGCCCGGTGAAGTACGTAACAACATTCTGTGACTATCAGTACCGGTTTTTATAGAGTGAATGATTTGATGAACTACAAGAATATGCATTTCGGACATCGTGTTATGCTGCGGTTAAATTAAACGAATCCATGCTAAAGGTATGTATAAAATCGTCGACGTGATAACATTTTACCCAAAATTTTGTTACAATCCAAAATTCTCGGAATTGAAGTAGTGATTGATTAAGAGTATTAGTGATATGCTAGATTCCACATCAAACTATTTAATCCACAACCCATTCATAATGTGTTTATTGTTTTCTTCTTTCTCCATTTTATACCCAGTCTGGTTGGAAAGCGAGATGTACATAAATTTGTATGAAAAATTCAATTTTTATCTGAACAATTTTTTATTAGATGTAATACAAAGTGTAATTCTGATTTCGACATTAATTGTCTAGAATAGAAAGACTTTACCATAAATATGTATGTATGAAGTTTTTGACCGCGTACGTAAAGGGTGTTGATTTAATTTGTCCCTATTTCTATTGTCAGTATTTGAAATCTTGGACCTCAAAAACCATGAAAACCTCGACGTATACAATTTGTTATTAGATAGAGATTGGTAATTTCACTGTCGACATGTTATATTAATCATGTCCTTACACGGCTCTTATTTTTTCACTTTGGGCTAATTTTTGGTAAATTTTTTTTGGTTCCAAAAAACAATAGGGAAGAATTAAATCAACACCCTTTACCTAATTTGTTCCAGGTGGGGTTTGATACTCGTATCTGCCTTAGTCTCCGCTTTTTTCTTCTGCATTCTTCCCCTCTGGGTATGCTTTTGTTATCGAAAAGGAGCCGAACCACAGACTCAAATTATCTGTAAGTGTTGTGAGCGACTATGCAAATATGTGCATACATACATAATGTATGATACATTTGCATCTAAATAAACCTTTTTTACACACCTTGCATTTTCCTAGGTTAATAATTGTTCAAATGTTGTGTTGAACTAGATATTCAGGGACGTGCCCCACCCGGATATCAACAATTACCCAGCCTACCTGGAAGTAATGGGGGTAACCAATAAGTCATCCTGGGTCACCTGATAAACTTGTACAACTTGGATTGTTCGAAATAATGAATTTGTACTGAAGGGCAACACAATTATATTAAAAAGATAACACTCTGTGAAGAAAGTAAACTTTTATTTCAGGGACTTATTACCTGAATTTTTGTTAAATTCGTTTATAAAACATATATGCCGTTGTCATTTGAAATATTCGGTACTTTCACGAAAAAAAATCTATGTAGTTCTCCCAAAATCATGTTTAGGCCAGATTATTTGTATATCTATGTTCTATTTTACTTTGAAGCACCAATTCTTTAGAAAAAATATCTAGCCTTATACTTGCGCAGAAACTATAAATTCTGCAAATTTGCCTCACTTCTGCCGTTTGGTACAGAATCTCCTAGGCCTCAAGCGTAAAATTCATATTAAATATTTACATGGAAATAAAGATTATGACCAAATTTTTAAATAAAAATAATAATTCTCAATATAATTCATACATATGTAGGATACTTTGCAATACATACCAGAGCATTTGCATTGCATAGCATTTGCAAGCCTTGCAAATCTTCCAAACGTCTACATGAGCAGGAGTGTGATTAACGAGTCGATACATTTTTGCCACAGTACAAAAGAAGTCAATCTGTCAAAGAATGTGCCATCTCCCATTGAGAACTTCGATGGTCGACAGGATCTCATAAAATACCTTACCCATTTGGAGGAATTTCTTGTTTTCATAAATTCGATAAAATTGCAAGATTTAGCGTATGGCTTAGCTACAATTTTGCACACAGAGTGAATAACCAAAAAGCCATCCAAGGCAACGATTAAGAAAAACAGTAGAATTAATACAGGGAATCGGCCGTGCGAGGTTACCAAGACATAGAGTGACACGGTCTCCGCAGCAGCAATACCTCCAATGGTGATTGGAACTGACGGTTGACACCAGGTATTATCGTGGTAACTAGATATCAACTGAAGCACTCGGTACTTGTAGAGATGGTAACTATTAGTTGGCGGTTTAATTCCCATTTCTTTTCTGGTAGCGTTTAAAAGTTCAAACATCAATATAATTAATTTAGATGTAACTTATTTTCAAATTTGAAATCCTTACCTTTCAATGTAAACCAGAATTAAAAGTTTGACCTCCACTGGATACAATAACGCAACATACACACCAATACCTACAGTTCCGAGGATTACGATTCCAGCGTAGAATTCGTAGATGCCCAGAAATAATTTCGTAGCTAAACCGATATCTGCATCCCGACTCCATTTCTCACAGTTTAGAATCATTATACTAGTCAGTACTGGAGGCATGCAAGGTTGAAAGAAACTCATGAGTGAAGCTGCACATGGAACGAAGATAAAGGTTGATGCTATAATGGCGCCGAGCGTAACGAAATACCGATGAACATAGCTAGGCCACCCTGTGTATACCAACATACAAAAGTATCAATGGATTATAATTTTAATGTCATGGGACTGATATTTTGAAAAAAAGATAATGCGACCTCTATTTGGGAGTAGTTCAATAAACTTCTGACATTTGCAAAATTTTATATTTGCAATATCGTGCTCATTAGTAGTGAGTCAATGGTATGAGTCATAAAAATGGTATTCACATATGTTGTGAAGCTATTTATTATGCGCGTAAAGTTTTGCAGCAACCATCGTTCGTCATTCAACAACGGTTCTCTAACAAAATTCATCTACGCACGTACCATTTGACTAACTTATATTTGATTACCTTCCAGAATTAGTTGTAATTCTGTATCGACGCATGCATTTAGCAAGGTCACCATCTCCTTTCTCACCCTCTCGATGTGTAACAGTGCAATTGTTATTACTCCATGTAGAAAACCGGTATATCCAACAAGGACATATTTCCAGTTTGGTATTGGCCGCTGGGTTATCATCCAATTTCTGGCTAACCAATTCAACGTCCAACAAATACGTATGACAGTGGTGAACAGGGCAAATAATAGAGGTAAGATAGTCTTAAAACTTAGAGACAAAAGCAGGAATTTCTTTGAAAACTTGAACGAAGCTACCTTTGTGAAGTTAAACAATTTGAAAATATTCACTAATAACGGAACGTTGGATGAGGGCAGTTGTAATAGTGATGAGAGCTTCAACTTCATATTCACAAGCGTCAAATTGGAAGAAAATGATGATTACAACTGATCGAATTCAAGATCAATAACTGCGAAATTTATTTAAAACCTGCTTCCAAAATATTCATATCTTATTGTACGACTTTGTGAAAAGTTCAGTCTAGTTTTGCAAATTTGTATGGTGGCCAATTTGTTGGCTTTTAATTTTTTAGAATATGGCCCCGCAATAAACTTAACGCATCCAATGGATCTGTAATTAATATTTGTTATTTCATTAAAGAATAACCGTTATGCGAAATGGTAGAACCAGAATTAGGGAAGAATGTCTGAAGAAAGCATTTGTTTTGCATGTGGAACTGCCCACTTTATGTGTATTTCTTGCTAGAAAAAATCATTAAGAAGGAGAACCAACGAGTCTTGCAACGCCAGATCAATGTGCGCATTCGATACCCACAATTGAGGTCTCCCAAAGTATGCTCACAGATTCGCCCAGTAAATGTGGAAAGTAACCTAACATTTGTCGACCTGGGGCGCGTTTTAAGTATCTTCTTTTTACGAAAATATCCGCCAACTTTTCGTACCGGCAGATAGTATAATTTGTAAATTTCATACTAATGAAATTTATGATCGATTTACACCAATTTGGCCAAAATCTGTGAGACCTCCTTCGTCAGTGGAAGACACAACTCACCATCTGATAGGACTGCCAAAAATTCTAGGGTTTTCCATTATTTTAAATTTTGAGACATTTTTAGTTTTTTGTTAACAGGAGAGCTGGAAGGTGAGCAGGTGTTTGATTCATTTGGAAGTGTTGTAAAGTTTATAACATATTTCGAGATCGGGCATCTATATGAATTTCATCTCTATAGGAACTATGAGACCTCAACCCTCCTTCTTCTCTCTTTACTCGTCTATTACTACCATATATCCAATGGCATCAAAATCTGGCGTTGCAAACCTTATCCGTTCTCCACTTCAAATAATTTATTTATCTATCTTTATATTTCCAATTTACTTCACAATATGTTACGCTAAAACACAACATGCAGGCTTTTATGAAACTTATTGCTTATTACTTAAACTTATTACTTAATAACAGGATGTGACTATTCTTGTTGACGAAAAAAATTACTTTTTCTCAAGCCAACCTTTTCCAAGTTTATCTAACTAATTTTATCAGTAAACGTTTTGCTGCGTTGTGCGTAATAAGACTAAATATTGATCGTTCTAGATTTAGGAATTTTTTCGGGTAAATTGGTAATTTTCTCAGTAAAATTTACAATGCCTTTAAGACGTCAGCGAACACATAATCTTCATATGGGGTATCATTTTAGAGGAAATTCCACCGCGAATTCGAAGTCTTTAATATGTTTGACCTTATGACCTTAAGGACGAGGTCAAAGGTCAGCAGATTCATAATTGTCGTACGGGGTGTCATTTTAAAGGACATTTGACTGCGATTTCAATGACGTTAATATTTTTGACCTCATGACCGTTAGGACGAGGTCATATACATATGTACAGAAACGTTAAAGCAAACTTGAAACGGTCTGCCGCTACTTATTTACATTCGTTTGGAGGGTTTATTTAAACTTCTTAACTAAATTATTTAAATTCTTACAATTAAAACACCACACAATCTCCAAAACAATGATCAGAACGCATATCAAAATGCAAACTCCACAGACATAGAACGATACAACAATTTTTGAATTAAAATCTAACCGAGAAACTGCATCTAATTTGGGGTGTGTCCAGTTCGCATAATTATGAAACAACTTGGTAGGTTTCCATAATTTATACAAAGTCTCCCAGTGCTTAAAAATTCCTGAAGACATCATTAGCTTGAGTCGATGCAAACAATAATTATTACGGACAGGTACAATCGGCCAACCACGAGTTGCTGTAAAGAATGAATCGTCGTCAATCTGAAGATACTTTATCTTATCAGGGTTATCATTGAGAAAAGGCAGGATTTTCGCAAGATTCTCTTTCGTATCCATCAATGCAATTTTGTCACAAGCTGACAAGCTATTTAGTAGGCTCGTGTCATTGTATGAAATTGGCTGAATAGTGCATTTGTCATTTGACGTACTATGATTAAAACGAGTACTTTTTCCAAGATATAACCAAGTAAATGTCCCTTTGCCGTTCAATATTTCATCTCTGCTTATATTATACTGTACCCGTATTCTGTTTATGAGGTATTTTGCCGTTTCGATGTATGCATCAAGTAGCTTGTATCCTCCTTTTGTGTCCAATAACTGCATGGAATGTTGTAAAATATCATTCTGGAACATTCTATATCGCATTTCATCTTCAAAATTGGTCACTTGTAAATCGTTCTTATCTAAAAGATTAACAGGCATTAAAACTTGTATCCCATCGATGTCCATTATACTCTTGATTAAGGTTGTACACGTTGTAGGGACAATCATTTCCATCGTAAACGAGGTTTTGTAAAAATTCGACAGCAATGTTCCCACCATCACGGCCCAAACAGCGACAACTGTATATAGTCCGACAATATATCTTTTAGAATTATAAATGGACAGCAGTCCAAGTACGGAGCTTTCCAAACAAATTCCAACTACTAAGAATGCTGCAGTACAAATGAATTTCTTGGACAAACTGATCAAAATGAAAATAACTCCAAGAATACTAATCGATAAGTAGATCCAAGTTGACCAATCAAAAGGACTCGTTAAAGAATTCAATGTATCTGAATGTGTCGATTTCACTTGATAACACGATGCGTAGCTGAAAGCCTGCACGTCAAGATGAACAAAGACAAAGCCTTTCAGTTCAGGATAGGAAGATATGCTTTGAACAGTTGGAAAGGAATGAAATCCGGTAAATTTATTTACGTCGTATTGAAAAGTTTCTTGCAAAATCCAGAACCGGACGAACCCGTTGAACGTTGTCATATTCGCAACTTGATGGTAACCATTCCAAGAGGTATGCAACGTCGAGAAATTAACGATAGTACGCAAGTGATAAATGCTATTAATCTTGGAATCATAAACTCCACGTGCATCCCAAAAATATTTGTTAAGATCTGAAACGTTTTTACCAACGATTTGTAATTTGGAAAAGCAGTCGGCGGTAGTACAGTTTATGGTATACCATGGTTCGG